TGTCACCGGAAAGGCTTTAAGAGAAGCAGGAGACGCTCAAAAAGACGCTGTCTTCCCAGCTAGGGCATCATGTCCAGCCTGGAGACCGCTCTTTACCTCTCGAGTCTCTTCTCCATTTAAGTGGCCGAACGATCGTCAGCTGAGAGGAGGTCACCACCAAGAGATATCCCCAGGCTTCACCGTCTCGCCTCCGTGGGACGGATCAGCCCCGGCTCGATGCACAAGGCCACCCGACTCCGCGCCCGCAAAAGAAAAAAAAAAAAAAAAAAATCAACGCCGAGAGCAGACATCTTGCCAAAAAACACTTCTTTTGTCTGGGGAATCTTGTCTCCACGAAGGCTGTTGGAGCAAACGAAGGCTGCGCTCTGCGGGGTTTGTCTAGCTCCGGGACAAAAAGACAATTCAGTTGAAAACAGTCACACGGCTCAATATTTTCCACATGCTGCAGTTGGATTTTGCTCACCCCAAGCCAGCGCTAACACACAAGCGATGCTCTACCACCAAGATCCCCTGCTAGGAGTTCAAAGTGCGTATAAATTAGCATTAAAACCTCAGTTTCCCAGCAAATCGGGTGGGGAAAACCCACCCAAAACAAGCCCAAAAGGGAGAACAGTCAGCACATGCGTCCACGAAAACGCGCATCTCAATTTGTGATAATCGTCACAAAATAAATTCCAAGCTCGTGTTGGGTCCAAGCAGAGAACACCGCTCCAGGAAGCCCCACGTCAGTCCGGCGGTCACCGATTTCTTCTGGCGAACGCCCTCTGATTCTCTAAGAGCCACGACAGCCCGTGCAGCTCTGCCGTAACGCAGCGGAAAGCTGGATGGCAGTTCCATATACACATACGTACCTCTTCTATACCTTTTCTCAGCTTGCAGCCACACGCTTTATCTTCCGAGACTCAGGGTTGGCATCGGGATATCTCAGCCCTCCAGATCCAAATTAATTCATCCACCTAACGAGCCTCGCTCTGGAGGCTCAGACATTTCCAAACCAGATTTTTTCTATTAATTAACACTTCCCAACTTCTCACATATAGCCTTTTTTTTCCCCCCCTCCCCCTTAACAGTTGTGGTTTATATTCCAAGCACAATTTCTTTTGACTTTAGTGCTCCTTTAATAACGCCCCGAGCTTGAGACTCGAATGAGAAGCGGCGACTGAGCAACCCTTGATCCAAGAGCCCTTCCCAACACCGCAAACAAAGGAAAGGAAAATATTGAATTCGATCCAGGAATTGAATTTGAAAGCTTCAGTACAAGACGGTTTGTTCATGGAGTCGCTGCTGAATTGGGTCCTGGGTACCGACTGAATGAGAAGAGTTGACTTCAGGGAAAATAAAACCCAATTTTGCTCAATATACCACTTTTTGCTCCTTTTTTTTTTAACTCCGCGACCAGGCTGTTCCGTACCAAAAAGAGCCACAGCACCGATAAAGATAGGAGCGTGCTCAGGGCACTGGGAGTCCCGCACGCGTGTGTATTTTAAGGGCGCTTACGCCAGCGGCGCCCAACCTCGGCGATGAGCTTCAACCCAGAACTCGGGCACGGCGGCTTTCAAAGCCACCTGAAAGCAACTCGACTCCTCGTGCTTTCCCAAAAAAACCGGTATTTTATCCTGCGTACAGTCACGCTGCACCTCGGAGACGTGTTCTGGACTCACAGTACGAGGCTCAGAGTCTGAAACGACCCAACTGCAACGCCAACTCTTTTCTTTCAAGGATTAAGAAGTTAAAACAAAGCCGTGAAAGGAAAACCAGATGCAAATACTCAACAGTGTTGTGTCAAAAAAGCAGAGAGGTGGTTTTATATTCAAATTCCTGACTGGTCAAGAGACTCACAGTCTAACCGATCCCAGAAATTAGCCATTTCCCTTCTCTTAATTGCAGAGACAGCCTTGAAAGACCTGAAAAATCACAAGTTTAGAAAGTATTTGCAGCTGCTAGTTTTGTTATTAGAACAAGTCTGATCGGGAGCCGTTAGAAGAGCGGGACTTCCTCCCCCCTTCCTCCCTCGGCACGCTCACCCATGACCAGAAGTTACCTCTAGCGCAAGGCTGCAGCCAGAAAAACCAACTTTTACTCCGTTCGTTGATCATTTGGTACCGATGGTTCTCGACAGAGTTGAATGTATGAAGCCACCGCGTTTTATAAGCCACGTAAAAATTAATTCAAGAGTTTATAGCCAGAGCAATCGACACCAACCTCAGTTATCCAGGAGGGAAGACATTTCATGCAGGAAGAGGCTGTGGTGCCGGTAGCGTGACTAATGCCCGGACAAGTCGGGCGACGTAACATGGAGAGCACGTTTCTACTCCCACTTACAATTAAAATGAGAGCGAGAGACTCGGTGGAGAAGAAAACCCGGTGATCCACTTCAGGGTCAGCGTGCCCCAAGCACGAGCGCGCTGTTAGAGGAGAGCTGGGGCTGCAAGGCAGCTCCGAGCAAATTAAACAGGGATTTTTAGAAAGTCTCAGGCTAACGAGCAACTCAAGCTCACTCGTAAATCACTCCGTCGCCGACAATAAAAGAAACTTTCTCTGGCGAGGCGGGGAAGGACACGTCCTCCTGGGTATGCTCACAGTTGCAGGAAGATTACCCGGCACTGAGATGTCCCTGCTAATCCTTACCACGGAGTAAATTACTCGTTTCAGCCTACATTAGCTTGTAGGTGAGGTCAGCCAACTCGGGCGCCGTGTGGCAAAAGCCCCGAGTTCACGTTAACTGTGCTGAAGAACATCAGAAACCTCCCCCAAGACCTCAAGCTCAGGTCCTGCAGGTCTTGGTTCAACCACAGCAACCGCTCCACGGAGCAGCCTGATCTTCCAGCCGCCCGAATGAACACCGGGAATATTCCAGGGTGGAATATCGAGGTAGTTTTGGGTTCATAAAGCAATTTCTGAACGGCACGGATCAAGTCAACGGGCTTCTGAAGACCCACCCAGCGGGTGAGAAAGGCAATCTCATCCCGGTGATGAGAGAGAAGGAGAGAGGAGAAGCAGAAGTGGCCATACGGGAGCAGATCCAACACCTGCCATCCCATCTCCAGTAAAAAAGAAAGAGCGAGCCTTCGCAAATCCATCCTCCACACTTCCAAACCACGCCCGGGAACGCTTATTATTCAAAATAATTAAAGACCCTGGGTCTTTACGAGGGACTTACTTTAAGTTGTCGCCTGTTCATCTTCTCTCGACCATTAAAAAGGTGTTACCAAGGCACCTCGGGTCGTTTCTGGAGCTTTTCGGGGTTGGTTTTGTGGGGGTTTTTTTGCAGTCAGCAATATCATTCACCCCTTCTCCTACAATATTTTCAAGTGCACTGAAAAAACACGGGTGCAGACACAGGTGGATCTTCCTCCACTACAAGCTACTGCGCGTTCCTACCTCGAGTCTCTTAATGAACTGTTAATCCACGGAGGGGTTATCAACCTGAGTTTTAAGACCAAACGGTCAAACCTAAGCTCTTGAAGGATGCCTCAGCATATTTTAACCAATAAACAGGCTTAAAGTGAACATCTAAAAGACAATTTCCTTCTAAAAAAGTCAGGTTGACCATAAGAATTGCGATCCTATATCCAAATGCCGAGTCTAAAATAATCTCACCTTTCGGCTAGGCTTTTTTAGAAGCACATTTTGGGCTCCAAACCTTCCAACATCAGCCTTGCAATGACGACTACGCTTTGCCCCATAGCTCTAGCTGAATTCACGTTCCTTTTCAGCCCACGTCTGTAGATACCGAGAGACCACAACTGCTCAGCATCGCGTTTTTCAGGCGCTATCAATAGTCTGCAAGAACACGGGGCTCCCAAATAGCCGCCTTTCCCAGAGAAACCTAACTGGGAGCTGAGGTAAGAAAGGACAAGCCAAGGTCAGACCAAAAATAGCCGATAAAAAAAGAGAAGGCAAAACAAAAAATGTTTTCACAATGCGAAAAATGCAGTGCCCTTAACTGGTTAAATCTGTCCTGAAACATAGAAAAAAAAAAGCCCTATTAAAACCAGCAGGGTAGTTAAACCAGTTAAAAGCAAAGCTGCTAGGCTCAGAAGAGGAGGACGTCAGATCACATCTAAGACCTAGAAGTCATTCTGGGTCCCGTTAAGAGTAACATCTGTTAAGCAAAGACCTATTTTACTAACCCTTACGCAGTTGCGCGGCTCTAAAAAAAAAGAAAAAAAAGAAGATATCCCCCCAAACTCGCTCCGAACACCCTGCCTGGTGACGATACATCCCTCTGGGCCGCTCGTACCTTCAAAGGGGCGTCAGGGGACACCAAAGTGCTCCAAAAATTCCCCTTTTACTCCTCGGGCTCTGCAAACAGTTGGAATTTTCCCCTCGGACCAGAAGAGCAATCGGCAGCTCTGCAAACAAACACCCGTCAACAGGCACAAGGTCAGTCTCATCTGTAAATACGTCGTCTCCGACTCAACGGCAGGAATAAGCGGCAATCTTGTTTTTCTTGTAACCTGATACGGTTTTTACAGGGAATTCTTCAGTCCAGGACAGCGTCCAGCCCCAGATGCAGGCAAGAAGAAGCAGCAAAAGGCTCTTCGCCACCTTTATTCTACAAACCGACCCTGCTCCGCTGTCTTTGTGCTCAGAGGTGTCTCAGTTTACCAGTTCAGATGTTCAGTTTTGCCAGCAACAGGATAACAAATCTTATTTTCCCCCTTTTCACCCTTTATCCTCCTTTTCCCCACCCCGTACCAGTGACTCCACGGGCAGAGGCGGCGTTCGGAAGCAGAAAGCACCACTTCACCAGCAGAAAATAAAAAGAAGAGATGACACTTCGGCCTGCAGAACAGCACCACACCTTTCCCCTTCGCTCTTCCCCCCAGGGGAAATTGGATCGTGCCCAAATTAACTCTAATTACACCCCAGTTCAGTAGGAAAGGATCACGCCGGGGGTTTGGGAGCAGCATAAAGTTGGGAATTGTCTCCTTAAATATATCCAAAATAACGGCGATGTTTAGTTTTGAGCGAGCAGCGAAGCTCCAACCCTATTTTTAGCGCTCATCCCTTTTACCCACCACCGAATTCTTCCTCGGCTCCCTAAACCAGAGCAAGACGTCGAGTATCGAGCGCACCCGGGCTCTCGACGCTCGGGTTTTACAGGCGAGGCCGGTCCGTACGCTGACATGCTGGAAACCTACCTACAAATGCAAAAAAAAAAAACAACAACCCCCCAAAACCCCAAACCCAACCGCAAACATCTCGGGTAACCTTTGGACCAGTGATTTGCACACTAATCCCCGTCCTCCCCCCGTCGGCATTAAACTCTGAACTCCGAGAACCGACTCTGCCTGCGCTCGGCAGTGTAGCAGCCACAGCTTTGCTGCTTGTACCATAAAGCCAAAACACATCTGGCACCGCACAGAGGGTTTGAGATCTCGCTGCTGCTGTTATTCCAGTAGACAGATACGAGCGTTTTAACACCCAAATCTTGCAAACGGGGAAATATCGACCGGACAGGAATTAAAAACACTTTATAAAAGCAAATATAATACAACCTGAGGTGATAATTTACACTGATGGTGATTTTTGTGCTGGCAAAGAACCTGCCTCTGGCAGCGAAACCTTTACCTTCAGCACCAGCTTTGGTGGAATGAGTATTCCCTGCGCTAAGCTGAAGAAAATCATCACCAACAGCTCTCTCTGCGGCTTTTCCCCGTCCCTTAGGAGGGGATGAGATACAGGGGAGAGCCCTGAGCATCAGGACTCAAAGGATTAGGTCAAGTGATTTAGAGGCAAGTGATTTAAATTGATTTCTTCCGATTTTCTTTCTTTAAGTGGAAAGTTAGCACCCACTCGGCAGCGGGCAGAGTCCAGAGGAGTAGGGGAAAACCTTGCTTGAGACGCCGAGCTCCCTCCAAAACGGCGGCTGGGCTCTCTGAATTGGATCTATTAGTTTCACCTTCCAAAAAAAGCTACTTGGAGACAATTTGAGCACGAATCTCGATCCCTACTACGCCGCAGTCCATATACACACGCGTAATTCATGAGGAGCCGCCCAAGTTCCTGCTTTTGAGGCAGAAACCTGGTTTAAGTTTAACACGAGCAGCACGTTAGGGTTCAGAGGAGCCTTCGGGCGCCCGTCACAGATCCCCGTTACGGCGCCGTCTCCAAATCATGAGGAACTGGTCGTTCCACCTCTCGGGTGCAGCCGAGTTGGACGGAAGCAAAGCTGATTTTCCGTCAGAGGAAGAGAGATGCGAGCTCACCGTTTGATTTTAAACGTGGCCATTTTCAACCCTAAAAAAACTCCGCAAAAGGAACTTTAAAATAAAACCTAAAATCTTGATTCTTCCAGAAATCAAGGTTTTACGTACAAATTATAATGCTTTTAAGGATTTTTGCCAGTAGGAAGGGGAGGCAAGAGAGCTTTTATAAGGAGACTAATTTAATTTGTAGCCTTGCTGCAAGGCTGATGTCTCAGCCAGCTCGCTGGCGAGCCAGGGCTGCAACGCTGGGATGTTTTCGAAGCGGAATTGCTGCGTATTTCATCATCAGCCTCCAAGGTTCGGCTCCGCAGGACCCAGACTCACCCTGCCTCCCCAGCTGCCTTTCCCCGGAGCCGTCGGATAACCGGATAAACTAGCCTGGCAAAGGATTTCCAAAGCAGGGATGCTGTTAGCGAAGGAGAGATTTCCCAACCCATCTGCAGCTACTCTGGCACCTAGCTCATTAAAAAGGAACCACGACAAGTGATTTAGTGTTTTGTCTGTTTTCTGTAATGACAATCAAGACCTGCCAGCCAAACCCCAACAAAGCTCCTATAAATCATGCTCCTTCCAAATTATCCTCTTCCAAGACAGGAGTTCATACATAAAAGACGAAGAATGACTGTTTTCAGGTAGTTTAGGGAAAAACAGGAGGCGCGCTGAGCTCAGGAAAGCTGGACCTACAGACAAACAGTCTCACAGCAGTTATTTAGTACTGGTTTTTAGAAAGCCCGCAGCCCAACACGATTTTTTTTTGTCGAGTCCCTTCTATTTGATCGGTCACCACTCATTAATTACAAGACAACCCCACGGGTCTGATTTCCAATCGCTCCGGTCTTATGCAAGGTAAGGGGTGTAGGCGCGGCGTAAGAGGGACTTTGCACCGCGGAGCTTTAAGCTGGGCTTAAAGTTTCGAGAGCAAATCAGTTGAGTAGAGCCGGCCCGTCTCGCAGCCGCTCTCAATTCCCAGGGTTTCAGCCACTGCCACTCAGCTGAGAAAAACTTCCCGCCCCCAGGATATTATTTTTTAAGGGTTATTCCTCTCACTTTAATGCCTCTTCAGCTCGTCAAATTAGCATAAAAAGGCCAACTGGGTGATTAAGAACTGTCTCATGACTTTCCAAGGAGGAAGGTGCTTCAGGAACGTGGCTTTGTTCGTCCTGCTCAGTGTTTTAGCAGTGTTAAAATTTTTTACAGTGTTCTCTGTAAAAATGTAGCAGGAGGGGAAAAAAAAAAATAAAAAGGAGCTATGCAACCCAAAACGTGAAGAGTAAAAATTTGAGCACACCCACCCAGCCTGGCTGAGTTTTTGGTCCCCGAGAGTAAAAATTTGAGCACACCTACCCAGCCTGGCTGAGTTTTTGGTCCCCGCGTTTGATTTAAACAATGTAAACCCTAAATTCTTCACTCTAGTTTTGCAGATTGAAAGTACAGCTCAAGAGAGGACGGGCACAGCACAAATATTCCGCAAAAAAGGCATTTTGCGTTGAGGGTAGTCCCAGGAAAACGGCCTCCGTGCCGAGTCCTTCCCGCAGGACGAGCGACCGCGGGGTTAAGCCAAGGCTGACTCCAAAAACTTTGTGCTTGAGCCAAGCACAAAGGAGGCGAGACCACAGCGTCACGTCCCTACAACCCACCAGGAGACCGCGGAAGAAGAGCTGTGCCCGTCGGATCACCTCCTTGCTGTGTCCGTAGCGGCCAGAAACAGGGAGGAAGACCTTACAGCAACAGAAATTGTGGAGAGAGGAAGAAATAACGAACACACACTTATTTTGAGAAGCTTTGGGGCCACTAAAGCTGATTTTTCTGGCATGGCGGAGCCCACGGCTGCTCTGGAAGAACAAGCAGCAACGCAGCCAGGTATCAAGAGAGCTTTGGGGGTGTAGCTGAGGAAAAGGAAGGAGAAGCATTCAAAAGTCGACCTGCAGCCATCAACTGAGGACCTTTACCACAAACCAAGACTCCTACCACGCACAGACGGGTTTCCCTGCGCTTCTACGCAGCGGACGCGTCCTGAGCGTCTCTCCTTTTTTTACAAAGGCAAATTTTCATGAACCCAAAACGAGGTGAAAACAACTTTCTCCTCACTTGTCTTGGGGGGGGAAGACGCAGTTATTCATCCGGCTGCCCCGCTCCTCTCCCAGCCCAAAATAACCCCTCAGCGCAGGATTAAAACAAATAAAAATAAGAATACCTTTCCCTGCGCGGCTGCACAAGTGGTTTTGAGCAAGAGGGAAAACAGCCCGTTACCGCCGAGAAAGCCCAGAGCAAGAGGAGACGCTTTAGACCGGGAAACACCCTTCGCTATCCGAGTTCCTACGCCCCAGCTCCGTCCAGGGGAGGAACGATGCGAGTTACCGAGCGATAACGTTTGTCGACACGAATAGCGACACGTGGATTTGCTGCGGAGCAGGCAGAAACCCGGCCTGGGGTAAGATCGCCTGTATTTCACTAAAATTAAGTATTTTTACGGTTCAACTGATCCTACCTGAAGTTGAGATCTACCCAAAGATGAACCGAGTTGCGCTCGCGACTCCAGCAAACACAGAAGGATAAAAAGCGCCGCTTGCTCTGCGCCGCTTCCGCTTCTTTTCAACCCGAAACTTCCCCAGGAGAGCGCAGCTCAGCGGCGCGGGGCCCCGCATACCTGCAAACTCCTTCCCTACGGAGCTCCGGCTCTGGTCAAGTCTTGGGGTGGGAATATAGCCGAGCGCCAACACCTGCGGGCCGAGCGCCTCTACAAACAACAGGTTTTATTAAAAAAAAAAAAATAAATCAAACTGCGCATTCCTGAGCCAAACGTTGGATCCTTTTGCTCACGTTGTAGGAAACAAGCTGCAAAAGCACCTCAAATATTCAATTTTTTCCCCTAGCATCCTGCCTTCCCACTTCTCCACTCTCGTTACCGTTAATTTTTACCGCGAGGATTCGCCTCCGAGAACCAGCTGCTACTGATGGGGGGGGGGAACCCCAACAGCAGAGCGAACCGCAAACGTTTCGGCAGTCCGCGAGATTACAGCTCGTTAAATAGTTCATTTATTGCCCTTCATCTCCTATAATTCATTTATTATAAACTTCAGGATTATTCTTTAAATAATCTGTAACCCTGCTGGCTGATCACTCCAAGCGCGCCGCAAATCTCCGGGATACATCAACTCGGAAAAGCTCAAATAAGTTTTAAACATTGTTTTAATTAGCAGGTATGACATAATTTAAGTTTCCAAGCTTGTTTTGCTTTCATATCTCGGTTATTAAAGCCAACGTGCTGGCAGACAATAATTAAATTAAGCCGACACGATACTGTAAAAGACTATTTAATTCCTGAAGTACCCAGGTTTGTTTAAACATATAATTACTTAATTACGCGTTTATTCATTTAACATTATTCAGATTTTTTTAAGCGCGCTGCTCATCCCGTAAGTAAGGCAAAAACCTGACCTATAAATCTCAAGTTTTAATTTAATTCGGCATCCGTTCCAATAAAACACAAACTGCTTCGTTAGCGCTGCTCCGCGCCCGTCTGACCCCCTCGCAGCTCGCTAAGCCTACTAATCCGTCAGCGCTAACGAGGACCCACGCGACTGAAGCACAACTTTACGCTTTGTAAGTCAAATCAACCAATTTTTTTTTTTTTAAGCCGGGTGAACGCGGGTTTTGCTCCAATAACTCCTCCAGAAGTCGCGCGACAAGTCCGCATCGGTCCGCTCGGAAGAAAATCCGACGTATTTCAATTAGCCTTCTGCGAGTCACTAATTCTGCCAGATTTCTGGCTATTTTTATAACCCCCCAAGACGTGCCACATGCCAGCCACCTCTAGACCTGGGAGGAAACCCACCCCAAATTCTAGTTTTCAGTGCTTTGCTGAAATCTCAGGTTTTAGCTGATTTACCACAGGGAAACCCGGCAAGGATCTCGCACCGCACCCAGATCGTCAATTAAAATATTACGGAAAAAAGCAAAATAATTTGCAATTGGGGAACACAGACCTGTCCCAGGAAATTCTTATTTCACTCAGCGGCTGCCCGGCGTGCACCACGTTTGCTTCGCAGGCTCCAAGACCCCCGTTGCTTTCCACGGGACACCAGGTTTTGGGGTATTTTGTCCTAAAAACGTGAATTTTTTCACCTTGCAGGTTTGATACCGTCATTACAGGAACGCTCCTGAGCTGCGTTAGAAGCTTGCAAAGCCTAATTAGGCTTGAAATATGTTATACCGACGACTTAGCTGAACAAAAATCTACATTTGGTCTAAGCCCTGACTAACGAAGGACACAAAACCCGCACGGCCTCAGCTCCCTCCCTTTCCTAAATCGGGAATATTTCTTCAGAAGGCAACAAACCAACATTAAATCCCTCAAATTTCAAACCGATCCACGATTTCCCATTTCCGGGCTATCGCTTACGGAGTTTCTGGTGTCAGGACGTTTGCCCGAGTCCTCGCCGCTACCAAACAG